TTCTTAGCGTTTCTTGGATTCAAACGTTTGGCTAAAGTCTTAGCTCTTCTTCTTGTGATCCGTTTTTCATTCGTGTCTTCATTTTCATCGCTTATCTCATCGTCTGATTCATGGCTTTCATCGATATATTCACAGCCATTGGATTCGCTGTCTTCGACCACTTCTTCAGCACTCAATTCAATTGATTTAGTTTTTGGATCACTTCTTCTCGAGTCTTGTCTCTCAATCGTGTCATCGCTTTCATTATCTTTGGATCCGCTGTCTTCGTAATCCTTTTCGACATTCAATTCATTTGTTTTTGTCGTTAAATCGCTTTCCTCTTCATTTGTGTCATTATTGTCTTCATTATTATCACCACTTCTTCGATGGCAACCAATTGGTGGCAAAACTTGTGATAAGTATTTGAAAGCGTTTTCGTTATCATTTGATTGTGTGATACAAACGACAGACTGTTTGCCATACAATGCAATCAAATCCACTAATTCTCGGATTAAATGCAAATCTATTTGTTTTGTATTCAATAAATGTGTTAAACATTTGTGACATTTGTTTAACAATAAGTCATTTTGCGATAAATCTGTTGACAAACAATTGATTTGACGTTTCAATGCATTCACTAATGAATACAACTCTTCACGACTTAAATGAGACAACGATTCATACGATTCACTCATTTTGAGCACTAATTTAATTGCAATTAAAACCCAATTTATGGCAAAAATAACCTCAACTTTAAACACAATTCAAATGAAACTGAAATCAAAACACAAACACAAATCTAATGAGAAGTCAATTCACGCTTTCATTCATACAATACGTCTACAAAAATATCGGAAAAACTTTTATTCAAAATGTTTATCAAATCAAACATTAATTAAAACATAATTATAAGACATTTCATAAACCAATCACTCCTTCGGTCTCTTCACACGTCTGTCCATAAGATTACATTCATTTGTCTTACGTTTGGACACGACTTCAGAGCACTGGTCGTCGGCTACCATCCCATGAGTGCTTAAGACATGTTTCTTAAGAGTAGTTTCCAATTGACACCTGAAGTGACAGTCAGTCCACCGACACCTATACTTACCTATAGGTATACCTCTGTGTCTCTTCTCGTGATCCCTGAGACAACTCTTCCACACAAACTCCTTCTCACAGGCGGGCCATTGGCACCGGTAGACCGTCTTTCGCGTGTGTTTATTCATATGTGAACTCAAACTACTTCTATCGAAAAACGACTGCTCACACCCCGGCCATTGACACTCGTATATGATTTCCTGTGTGTGAAGATTCACATGTTTTTTCAGATTCCTTTCACTGGCAAACGTTTGGTCGCATCCGGGCCATTGGCACCGGTGTCTAAGGGAATGGTCGTGTGTTGGGAGGTGCTGTCGAAGGCTTGATTTGGACTGAAAGTTAAGTCCGCATTCGTCGCACGCAATAGGCTTCGTGTGGACCAACTCGTGGTTATTCATAAGTGTCTTGTGTTTAGCCCTATACTGACAGCCAGTGTGCGAGCACTCCATCCACGGTGTGTCCGGAAAGGCGTCGGGATGTCCTCCCAACTGATGTTTCGTTAGATTAGTCTTAGACCTCGAAGATTGTGTGCACCCATTGATACCACACTTTAAAAAGCTTTCCTTAGAATGCGTTATTTGATGTGATCTGAGATACCCGGGCAAACCCGTCGCGAACTCACACCCGTCCCAATCGCATCGGTAGGTCGTGTCGTGCACCATCTTTTTATGTGAATTGAGATCGCGCGCGGTTTTAGACACAGCCGAACAGCCCTCCCAATCGCACCGGTAGCTCGCAGTGGAGTTGTGGCGCTCTTTGTGTCTATTGAGGCCCTCTTTTGTCGTAAACTTCGTCCCGCAGTCAACCCAATCGCAGACATATCGTCCACTATTAGGCTTCGGGACTATTATCTCATGAATGTCTGTCAAGTGTTTCACAAACACCTCTTTCGATGGCGTCGTGTAATCGCATCCTTTGTGTCCGCACCGGAAGGGCTGTCCCAACACGTGATGACCGAACTTCTTGTGAAGCGATAGCGAACTGTTGTTCGCGAAGTGTTGGGAACAGTTCGGGTGATCGCAGAAAAGGCGTTTAACGCCAGAAACTCGACATGACTTGTGGACCGATAGGCGGTGTTTCTCAAGACTGAGTTCGGCGTCAAATGATTTGCCGCACTCTTTGTAATCGCAAACATATTTGCCGTCCGTTTCATAGCTATGACTGAGTTTGTGGTCATCTAATTGAGTCAAGAGTGAGAACTGTTGTTTACGACAGCGCTTTCTAACAGATCCATACTGTCCTCCCGTTCCCTTTGGAGTAGCGTTTGATTGGTTGACACAAACGCTAGACTTTTTGGACACCTTTTCCGTAGCCTTAGATTCACTCAAAGTATTATCACTTCCTCTCGAGTCTTGACTTTCAGTTAACTCTTCGTTGTTTTCATCGATTATCTCGTCGTCTGATTCGTGGCTGACATCGCATTCATTGCCATTGGATTCGCTTCCTTCGACCACTTCTTCGGCATTCAATTCATTTGTTTTTGTCATTGAATTGCTTTTATCTTCATTCATGTCATTGTCGTCATTATTATCACCACTTCTTCGCTGGCAATCAAATTGTGGCAAACCTTTGGATAAGTATTTGTAAGCCTTTTGATAATCAATTGATTGGTTGATAGAAACGGAAGACTTATTACAACACAACTCAATATAATTGAGTAACTGTTGAGTCGATTGTCTATTAATTTCTCTAACATTCAGTAAATCTTTTAAATATTTTCGGCATTTCTTTGAAATCAATTCATATCTCAATAAATCTGTTGACAAACAATTGATTTGACGTTTCAATGCATTCACTAATGAATACAACTCTTCGCGACTTAATTGCGATAAATCCGCAAAAGTTTCACTCATTTTGAGCGCATTTATTGATTGTATTTACGTTTAAAATGCAATCAAAACAACAATTCATTTCACAAACAACTTCTCAATTGTTTACACATTTTATGGATACAAATAACGTCACGAAAAACATTTTATTTAAAGTTTATTCATACAAATCGCGAATAGTTTACAAAATTATTTAATTAACACAAAATAAAACTCAAACAAAATTAATACTAAACCTCTTATGATATCCGCAAACGTTTGGCACCGAAATAGTGGCCCTTTATATATGCGATATAAGACTAGTCTTATCGATACACGTCTGCCGACAGCCGATCCACTCGCAGACATACCCTCCCCTCTGGGGTTGAAGTCTCGGCTCATCCATCGGATGTCTGTCCAACACATGGTTTACGAAATCCTTTTTCGATGGCGTCCTGTAATGGCATCCCATGAGTCGGCACCAGTAGGGCTCTCCCCGCACGTGATTACCGGACTTCGTGTGGTTACGTAATAGCCTCGGGTTTGAGAAGTGTTTGGAACAGTTCGGGTGATCGCAGATGAATCGTAGCCTCGCGTGAGTCGCCCGGTGCTCGCGAAGGGTCGGTACGTTGCAGAGGGTTTTGCCGCAGTTCATTACTGACTTCCGATTTAATCACCACTTCTTTAGCACTCAATTGGTGTCCAACTCTTGTATTAATGTCTTCACAATCACTGGTCTTTTGTCTCTTCTGTTTACCACTCCTTCGATGGCAACCAATTTGTGGTAAATCTTGTGATATGTGTTGTAAAGGCTTTTCGCAATTAAATGGTTGATCGCCACAAACGACATACTGTTTACTTGCATTCAAATCAAACAAATCCAGTATTTATTGAGTTAATTGACAATTAATTTCTCTAACATTCAGTAAATCTGTTAAATATTTTCCGCATTTATTTAGCAGTAAATCATTTCGCGATAAATCTGTTGACAAACAATTGATTTCACGTTTCAATAGGTTTACCATTGAATGCAAGTCTTCGCGACTAAAATGAGACAAATCCACAAAAGTTTCACTCATTTTCAGCACTAATTTTAGCCGCAATTTAAACACAAATATCACTTAAAATGCAATTAAAACTACAATTTATATGAAAAATACTTTTCAAATAATTTTAATTTGTTTACACATTATGTGCACATAAATAACGTCATACAATAAAACTTTACAAACTTTTTAATTCACCTATTACATATAAAAATAAAATAGTGCTAGCACAAATTTAATCGACCCACGGCTTAAACACATTAGTTTTCAAGTAATAGCACCGGTATTTCGTGCATTCCGGGCACTTGGCGCTTTTACTAGCATGGTAACCCATTTCCATCGAACAATGAACTTGCTCACTCAACAGCACAGGCTGTTCAACACCGGGTTCCCTCACCAACACCCTATTGGTGCTAAACTTACCCCGATGATTAATACTCCAAATAAAGTAGTCTATGGCCCGGCTATGATTAACGGTAAGCCCCACGTACTTCGTACCTCCCTGTCCACTAAAGGCGTTGCTAAATTGATCTTGAAACTCTCTCGATTCAAACAGCACCTTGGTCACCTTCCCCAAAATGGCATTCTGAGTCTGATTATAGCCCCAATTAGGGTAGAAATCGACCTGTCCCAATGGCACCAGGGTCCCGAAATAGGGACAGCCGTAGCCGTCCGTATGAATTACGTCCACAAACTCGGCGTCGTTAGGGTCGAGACGTTTATCCGTGTTTTCCGTCTGAAATCCCGGTCCTGCGGGGTCTAACCCCGTGATCCTATCCATAGGGTAACCCCGACTGCGCGACTCCCGTCCCGCGGAGCCCATAAGGTGGGCGCCGAGACTATGCCCGACTCCCCACACGTAGACACCGGTGCCCTTCCGGCGCTTGATTTCGCCCAAATACGGACCCAACCATTGGCCGACAGCCACGGCATTGGCCGCCGCCTGGGGGTAGTCAAGTGGACCCGTTTTGGAGCCCCCTTCCCAGCATACGGCTACCACGGTGTGATCCCGGTGCTTTAGTATGCGCTTTCGCATTTTGCTTAACCAGTCGACCCGTACGTCCGATCAAAACCCGGGCGATATGAATATGATTTGATCGGTTAGTAGAGAGTGGAGTTCCAAGAGGTCGGCCATGTAGGTGGGAGTGTCTGTGTAATTGATCTTGGTGAGCATGTCACGGTTTCGCATGTATAGCGCCGGTTTTATGGAGCTTATGGGCCAGGGGTCAGGTAGTTTGCCGAATATGGTGCATGGTGGAAATGGGATATCAACCTATATTGGTGAAAATATAAATTATTTGAATTAGGTAGGTCATTTTGCAATTAATTAGCATGTTTATTTATAGTTCAGTATTAGCAAATTGTTTTAATATATTTAGGATAAAGTAAAATACAATAATTTAGCATGCTAATTATTGCTGCATTCAATAATTACACAAAACTAATTGTTTATAACTTGTATTTGATTTTATTTTTAGCATGGTTAATCTAAAAGGTGGCATTGGCAAACATACCTGTGGTGTAGGCCTACATGTGGGATAACTTGGCGATGGTGGTGGTGGTGGCGGCCCACTTGGCCCAGGTATTGGTATAGGCCAGGGATTAGGATCGGGCCAACCTGGTATTTTTGTGCAGCCACCTTGGACAATATTGTTAAACATGAGTCACTAAATTAAATTGTCAATTTTGAAAACTATTTATTCTAAATTGTTTGTAACTTTGAGCTGGATACTTTTATATTTACACAGAGAACTTTTGTATATTAATTAACTGTTTATTTATAATATTTTAACTGTTAATTTTAAAATTACGATGAAACATAATTAAAAATGTTTTATAATATAATTTATAAACATGTTTTGAAACGCATGGACGGGCGTTATGTAAACGTTTAGTTGATATACTTGTGATAATAAGGCGTTTATTTAGTAATACGTCAGAGTTGTGGTTAGGTTTACATAATCATTACATTGCAATGTTAATGTTTACATAACTATATGCTAAACAAACTGTTATGAGCAATCACACTTTAGATTGTAAAAACTTTTCACACTATTTGTTATTAAAAACTTAATCAATGTAAATTATATTAAAATGCTTTTATAGCAGAGTAGAGCACATGTAATTGATTGTAAGTACCTGGATCATCTGACATAAAAAACAGTTCACAATAATCATAGCATTTAATGAATATTTTTGTGTCACATTTTGTAAAAATATTTTTAATTATAAATATATGTGTGATGGAAAAAATGCAATGAATAATTTGACATTTTTAGTAAAAATCTAAAAGGTCTTAACATTTTAATTGCTTACACATACAGAACACTATATCATACAAAAGATTTTATAGTTATGACCTTTTGGATTTTTACTCAAAATATGAAAATATTCATTGGATTTGTTGCCTCACTTATATTCGGTCGTTCCCGAAAGACTACCTAATCTGTAAGGCAGTGATGTGCTATTTCGGGAGTAACACTCTTTAACGGACTAGAGGTCAGTTTGAGTAAAAAGTTTTATCAAAAGGACTTGTCAGGACCTGCAT